TGTCTTATGTACTGCTTCTGGAAGACCATAAGGAATTATTCGTCCTTTAAGAAAGACTGCATCATCTTGTACTTGAGGTTTTATAGGCTGGATTTTCATACCTCCACTACACTTATCACATGCAGCTATCAAATTTTTAAGTAAAGAATCAGAATTCTCTGTAGGAACTAGTGGAGACAATCCCAATTTACGCCTTTTCAGATGTTTTTAAACCCAGTATTAATAGCCCTGTTTCGCTAACTAAAAATTCACAAGGTATATATGAAGAATTTTCATCGCTTATTAGCAATTCACAGCACCCTCGTATGGGCAGTTTGTGTCCAGTAATCCCCAATATTGAGATTTCAGTTGGTCTTACCACATTAGGATCCAAAGATTTCAAGTTCTTGAATGAAAGAATGGACTCTGAAATACTCGTGTTCACAATAAAGTCATGAAATGAACATTACCTTTCAAAACGGTGGATAAAGATAAATAATCATTAGGAACAGCCGAAGTATTGGGAACTAAATTACAAGACTTAGTAATACTTGAAGAAAAGTGAACAGTAGTTTTGCATACTGATTGAATGTGTCCTATCTTGCCACATTTAAAACATTTAGCATTACGAAATGCACATGAATTACAAGAATGAAGTTTGCCACAAGATAAGCATTTACCAAACTTTTCTCACCTTTGTTGTTTGCTTTGCAGTTCCTTGTTGAATCACCTTTCATATTTCCACGAGAATAGAAATCACGATTACACCGACGCCAATTTGATCGATTCTGAGATTGTACTTCATCACGATGACTGAGCAAAGTATTAGAAATTTTCATCGATTAGATATCAAGTTCATTCACTACTTCGTCGTTAATATACGCATTTTTAGCATATTGAAAGAAATAGTTCGACATTTTTTTCCAGACTTGGTAAGTTAATTCCTGTAATTAATGGATCTCACAGCTGTACATGAAGTTGATCAGCGAAATTGCATTTGGCAGCTTGTCTTTGCAACTCAAGGATGAATTCCCTAACTTTTGGTTATTCTGACGAATCATCTTATGAAATTTTGCTCTCTCACGATATTCAAAACTGATGCAATTTGCATGATTTAATAGTAGTTCCTCCAGAGTTGTAAAAGGGAGTAAGATGGACTATTCAGGATATGTCAAAGTTTTTAATAAACTGTGAGCTTCGATGCCGATGAATGTAACAAAATTTGCCACAATTTGTAGCACTTCAGATATAGGATCCATTTTGAAGGTTTTGTATGAGAAAATCCCTCTATGCATACATTTGCAACTTCTTCTTAATAGTTTTTTTAGTTGTACATTCTTGTTAGTCTTTTTAATGCCATTAGAGATTGCACTGTTTCATTTCATAATAGTTTTCTTATTTTCTCTTTCACTGAGTTTCTATGCTTCTTTCTGAACTGTATCTATATTTTTTTAGTTGATATTTGATCTTGGCGGCAGCTATATTGATTGTTCCCTCTTTGATTGTGTTGCTTGATTTGACTGGGATCGTGCATTTTGGTTGCGAATTGAAGCACTTTTCCAGAATGGGAAACATTTTGTGTTACAAAGCAACAAACTACTATCTTTTGAACGGATTTTTACTTGATCTATCCAGAAAGGATAGGATAACACTTATCTTTTGGTGCGCTCGGTAATTTTCTTACATTTCTTATCAATTTGTCTATTTGTTATAATTCAGATCGATTATTGAGGGCACAATTATCGATTGGATAACTGAGCGGTAATATTTGTGTGGTGTTTGAATAAAACAATAATTCCCCGGTATTGATGACTGTTTTTATTTTGAATTACAAATACAGTACATTCGTTCGTGCTCATCCAACACTTCTTGATTAAATTGCGTTATTGCTAGGATTACTAGTTTATACCACAATTCAAATACTTCAAATGATTACATTGGCGTCGCGATGGAGCAGTCGGACATTTATTCAACTTCTGAAGCTTATGAGGATTATTTTGAAAGGTTTGAGATATGGAGCATGAACAAAAAAGGTGTGAATGGTTATAAATTGTGGCAAATTTTGTTACATTCATCGGCATCGAAGCTCACAGTTTATTAAAAACTTTGACATATCCTGAATAGTCCATCTTACTCCCTTTTACAACTCTGGAGGAACTACTATTAAATCATGCAAATTGCATCAGTTTTGAATATCGTGAGAGAGCAAAATTTCATAAGATGATTCGTCAGAATAACCAAAAGGTTAGGGAATTCATCCTTGAGTTGCAAAGACAAGCTGCCAAATGCAATGAGCACAAAGAAAAGTTATGTGACGTTACTTAAATCGTTCGTCTTGGGCGTGTTCCAGTTGCACTCGGTACCATAATCCACAATGATTGGTAATTAATAATTCCAATAGGGTTGTTGAACATTTATCGTCTCTAACCAGAAAGTAGGAAGTTTATGACGAATAATGTAGCATCGGTATTTAATTATTTCAACTCTACAACTGAAATGATGGATTTGATACTGACATTGTCAATAATGAAATCGTAAAAATCACGACTGGACAAGTAAAATCGTTTTTGAATACGAAGTGAATTGTTCCAAGTTGTGATAAAGGATAGTATATGGTTATTAGAATAACCCGAATCAATAGGATCTAAATGACAGAGTTTAGTATTACTTGAGGCAAAATAAGCAGTAGTTTTATAAACCGACTTGATATGTCCTATTTTACATTACTTTAGGCCCATTGCATGACGAAATGCACATGAATTACGTGAGAAAACTTTACCACATGACACACATTAAACGAATTTGTGCTCACTTTTGTTTACTGGTATGTGATTTTTCGATGAATTATTCCCCATGTTTTCATGAGAACGGGGATTATCGTTAACTAAACACCTGTCAGGATGACTTTGAGTACGAATCGGATTAGAACAACTAAGCAATGTAATAGAATTTTCGATGTACTGGAAGTCGATTTCATACACTTCATGATAATTAATACATGAAGTTTTATCATCTTGGAAGGAACACTTTGTATGATCTCTCTTTATAAGTTTGGTATGTCGATTCCTGCAATCAACCAATCAAGCAGCTGCACGTGAAGTTGGTCATCAAAATTACACATAATATATTATTTCTGCAATTCTAGAATAAAGCCGTTCACCTGCTGGTTATTCGGATCAATCATTTGAGGCAATCCGGCTTTCTCACGTCATTTAAATTTGTACACTTTACATGATTTATTAGTAGTTCGTCGAGAGTTACTTGAAGGAGTGAAATAGGGTAGAAATGTCGAATATTTCAGTGAGCTGTATGTATACTTTTCCGAAGAATGTAAGGACATGAGCCACAATTTTATCATCTTTAACTTCACATTTCAAACCTTTCCATGTAATTCTCGAAAGCTGAAGAATTTAAATGTATATCCAACTGTTCAACCACAAGGTTCTTCACGACGCCAATATGATAAATAGAAGTACTAGAACTGATTTGCAGCTAAGAATTCCCAAACTAATGCAATCTTATGAAGCTAGAACTGGATGAGTACAACTGAAGGTATTACACTTGAGATTCGTAATACGAGCTTGACTAATTACAAATAAATCTTGAGGCAGTTCATTTAATCCATCAACACTGGGCGCTACTCTTTAACGATCTTTACGTATTACATGAATTTTTTGAACACTCAGTTGCCTTCTCATGTCTTCTTTTTAGTGGTTGACTACATTCCAATGCTCTTCTTGCCGAATTATTCACTTCCCTTCCATGGATATTTTCAATGTAGAGTGTACAAGCAATTGCGCATCCGTGGAGTACCATTTTTGTCTTGGACCAGCTATGTCTGATTTATTTCTTTTGACTTATCTCAATTATCATCAACGCATGTGATTAACGTCTTCCTACCTCTTTTATTATCGTCCACGTTTTTCCTCTTATTCTTTCAATTCCGTTTTCTCACACATTATCAATTAAATATAATATTTATTTGTTGTTGAAACAATCGACCTCACTTGACACTGCAGTTATCACTCTATTATTTTTCGCATTGCAACCAAATAACCTCCGGCTTAGTAGCGTGATAGCTGCCGATATTTAAAAATCCCTTTTCCCTGCAACAAACAAGCTCACTCGAACAACAAAATATAAAAATCTACAAATAAGTGCCTAACTGATTAGAGTTAGTGCCATACAGTCATTAGACTTACCACCCATTGGACATCACCGAATACCTAGAACTGTACCGAAGTAACAAGCAACAAGCGGAAATAAGTCAGTGGGTTTATACTAGCTCATGACAAAGGTTTCAAACTTTTATTATGTTCAACTAAAATATATTTTAAATCACTGAGAGTTTGGAATTTAATAGATACTTATTTGAACGATATACTAGCTATATCAGTGTTCTTAAAAATATTCAACTTAATGGAATTTACTAGGGTCAGTTACATTGGAAAATATGTGTTAGGATGAAAACTTCAGTAGGATTTATTTAAAGAAGTTCATAGGAACTTTCGCGATCGAGTATAAATAAAGAACCAAGTAAAATAAGTAAGCAATGAATCTGCTACCGTATAACAATTACAATAAGGTGTAACACTTAGCATTTTGACAGAAATATATAAGTGTAAAATTAAGGAAAAAAGCAATGCAGTTGTTATTATTATTTAGCAGTGCAAGTATGTGAAATGGTTATTAGGAATTTAATCATGTCATTTAACATTAACACTCAATCATATGAACGAATAACCAAGGTTATACCTTAGTATTTTTGCTACTTAGATCAGCCATAATACGATGAATTTAGAATATGCTTAAGGAACAATGAAACGGGGAAAAAGCAGTTGTGAAAAAAAAGCATTCCATTGGCAAACAAATATTGACATGCTGAGCTTTATAGTTAAAATTCCACTACGATTGTGATTATTATTATTATTAGAATTAAAAATTTGTCCCCCCAAAAGATTGGTCATAGTTTTAATAAATTGATAGATATGTTTTAGTATTTTTCTTGATAAGTAATTAATTTAATCAAGAATCATTCTTTGTTTGCCCATTGTCATGCCAGCTTGTGAAGCACCTTTGTTTGTGCCATATTGTAAACTAATCACATTCGCACCTTCACGTAGTTGTTCGTCAGTGAATTCACGTTTATTCTCTTGAGCTAATTTTGGACCTAAAGTAGGGCCATTGTATTCCGTATGTGTTTGACACTGAAATAGAGTTTTTTGAGAAAATAAAATCATTTTAAGTAGGGTAATGGACTTTGAAAAATGACTATCAAAAACGTTTATCATTTAATGACATTTAATCGTTAGCCACGATCTATCCATTCCAAGATCTTGTGGAAATGTGACCTTAGAGAGGCAATCCACTCTGGATCAACAAATGACAATGAAGACTGATAAATAGTGCATTCGGATTTTGACGATAGGAATTAGTAAACCATCATCAGTAACGGAATGATAATTAATTTAGCTTGAAAAAGGTTGTTATTTTTCACGAAAATTTGATCAGTCCGCTAGCTGCATTCCATATAATACAGTGGCTTTTGAAGTGAACGATACTGCGTTGGAATCCTGGAGTGAGCATTGGTTCTGGGACATAGGTATATCCAGCTAACAAGTTCCGAATATGATAAAACGAGCGTCTTGGATTACACTGCTAATCACATTCCATTTATTCTATATCGGCTTGAATGATAATTGTTTGATAATTTTCAGTACTTAGAAAAACGCTGATGTTATATATAGCAGAAGAATATTCTTTTCAATAAATTTTTATGAGATTCTACAGATGTGATTCAGTCAATCATTTAATAAAAAAATAGACCAGATAAAGATGTGCCTTGACTCAGGTTGTCAAACTGTATCAGTACGGAGGAGTGAAAATAAGAAGTTGAATAACAGTGAAGTAGAATCAAAAGTACCGTATGTAGAATATATTTAGAGATAATGTCATGAAATCGGTGAATACAAAGTGTGAATTATTATTGAAATCTGCAATTTAGGTTGAGATAGAGAAAGAATGGATCCTTATCACCTTTTAATTGATTTGGTGATACGTCAACTACACTCTCAAACTGTAGATAACAATTATCGTACGGAGTCTCTTTACACTGTTCAAGCTAATAGTAAATAACTTCATAAAATAATGCTGTCTTGCTTCGTAGCTTCTAGCTTCCTCCCAACTTAGTTTCACAATACTCAGTATTTGCCAGCGAAAACAGTGGATGGGAATTGTGTAACACATGTAATTGTTAAAATGACTATTAAGTGATTCATATTTCAATAAAGTTTTAAATCCAATAAAACTGTGAGGTTAATAGTAGGAATAAATATAGGTGAAATATAGTGGACAAAATACTGACAAATATTGGTAATTTCAAGTATCCAATGCTAATTGCATAATATATAAAATGATATGAAGTGAAAGTCAGTGAACATGAAATTAGTTTTCAATTAAAAAAAAAATAAAGTACTTATTTAATTTTATCAATTTATAAAATATCACAAATATATACTAAAAATTTATCATATGGATAATTAAGTTGATAAATTTACGTGGTTTATGAAAAAACCTTTAAAGTTAAGTAATGTATTTCTCATGAAGAGATTTATGTATTAAGATACACTTTGTGTGAGTACAACGGCCAGTTATAGTAGTTAACAGACTAAACGAAAGCTTAGAATTTACATGGTAACAGCCGAAATGTTGATTGTTTAAACTACTAAACTACATCACACTAAAAAATTATTTAAAATGTTTTGTAAGAAAGGTAATTTCACAAAGTCACTCCACATATATTTTTTGTATACAAGATTATAGAGCTTGATGAATTTTTTAGTTTTACACTATGGCCCGATTTCATTTAAATAGTTATTGAAAGTCAGTAAGCAGTGAAAAATTGCTTTGTCTTAGTTGTGAACTCCTCATCAGTATTCATCAATGAACGCACCAGTGGTCGAACCCAGGATTCTAAGATCTCGTAATGAGCAATTAAATTTCAAACAACAATTAGCATCCAATCAGTTCATGTTATCTACCATAAGAAAGAAAAAAAAGCCTACTGTTCTTCCAAGAGCATAAAGACATTGTGTCACTTGAGCAATATCCTTTTTCTCGAATAAATCGACTGTTTGAAAAACATCAGCAGTAGGCACACCGTATGCTTTAATTGCTTCTTGAAATGCATTGATATTTTCCATAATTTTAAATGGCATAGTAGCGTTCTCATTGATTCTCTTAACACTACCAGGTTTTAGTTTATTGATAACTCTAATAAAATAAGGTAGAAAATACACGAACCATGAATCAAATCGTCCTGTGCACAAAAGAAATCAAATTTACAGTATTTCAATCTTATGTAAAAAAGTTAAGTAAGCAGATCAGAAAGATGATGATCTTCAATAAATTCATTTGATAGGAACCTATACAGATAAAGATTGTCAATTTGATATTGACATCTTCTAGATTAGTTTAGGTAACGTTAGGTTTCCAATTGTGAGAAAGAATTAACTAATTGAATAAATTTACTGGTAATCCAGTAAATACTTTATGTAAAGCATGATAGAGCAAATTTTTAAACTGTCAACCTGTTTATCATTGATAAAACTGAGAAATCGTTAAGCAATACATTTATACCACAATTTGTAATAGTCTTTATTTACAGGGTAATGTTATTCAAAATTGAATCTGATCAGTTTTTATTGACATACGGACTTTTTAAATGGATGTTAGGATTTTTCACATAGTAGTGACAGAGGAGATTCATTTAATCTGGTCATGAATAGTAACAATATGAAATATAAAATTGATGTAGAACTTAATGGAAACAATTTGATTTGATAGTGAACATTATGGAATGATGTTAGTTAGACATTCTTTGAAAACCAAGAGGCAGTAGACTGGTGTTTCACTCTATCATGAGAATCCTACGCAATATGTAACCACAACCTCATGAGAGGTCAAACCTAGGACCTTGGGGTCTCATGATAATCACTTAATCTCTGAACTACTGAGCGGTATCTAATCATTTTAATAACAAACTTCAATCAATATTGGGAACTAATCAGAATGGATGGGGATTAATGAGGAGTCTCACAATAGTACGAAATAGCTATCCAGTGATTCCTAGTCTTTAGTTGTTTTCTAATAAATATCATTCTGTGATGTAAGTTGTAAAAAACAGTAATAAACCCTGAAAATTAACGATGTTTCATAATTTTCAAATAAGCATGACTATTATGACTCACTGTCTAAGTAAATAATCCGTTGATCTATAAAGTGATTGATAACTGATCTAAGAATAAGCGTAATCAAAAACACTTCGGCGCAGTCACACCTCAGCTATCGAGTTCGAAGTAGTATGAAACACTGATTGTTGATTTCACCGTGAGCTCTTATCCAGAAATGTAACTATACTGTCTAACTTCTAAGTACTCATAAAAATAATTTTACTTGTAAAGAAAAGTGATTCTAGTTCAGAGATTATTGTGCATCCAAAAATATATTATGATATGGATTGGTTAAGATATTTTTATTCAATAATCTTAAATTTTACTTTAATAAGATCTTTTTACTTTTCTGAAGAAAAGTCAATTTATATCATAACTTTGATATTACTATTTTATCATCAGAAAGTGTTGGAATTGTCGCGTTGCTGATATTCAGGACTGAATTTTGGTCAGTCTTTACAGAGATATGTGTATACTAAGCAGATTGCCTAGATAAAGCAGTTAAGTCACAAGTTTTTAGAATGGATGAATTTTGACTGACAGTAGCACTCAAGGTCCATGTTTCGTCCTGTTTGAAACTCACCAGTCAAAATTCAGTGCTCAATATCAACAATAAGATAGTTCTAAGCCTTTTCTGTTAATAAAGCCCAAATCCCTCCTGTTGAACAAGATAGTATCTATATGAACTCAGTAGCTCAGTGGTTGCTGGAATTAGGATAATTCTCACACGAATCAAAATATCGCGCAGTTCAATCCTTCGAATAATAACTGACTTACTTGCAAAGTAGCACTCCATCTTTCAATATCTCTTCATATGGCTTAGAGCGGTCCACCTTAGTGCCAAGTACGGCCTCTATCCAATCAAGTACACTTTGTTCTTGATCTCTGTCTCGCTTTCCTTCAAGCTAAACAATATAAACAATTCCATGGAATACTTGAACAATGTAACACCACAAAAATAATATTTGACCATCATGAAAGAGATTAAATGGAGTTTTCTAGCAGCTCAATTGATTTAAATACATAAGACACTTAATACTTATCAGTTTAATTGAAGGAAGATAAATGATCTTCTTTTTAGTGAACACGGGTTACATTAACAAATTTACACGTAATCTCACAAACAAACATATGAAACAACTGAGATAAAGGATTCTCCAAGGTTTTTTGACTACATTCCTTGAAATCAAATTATAAAAGTGAGAGAAAATTTTCGCAACTACGATGGTCAGCTGCTCAGTGGATAATGAGGTGAATAACTAGAAATTTTTGAAAGTAATAAACAGACAATGAACCTCCCATACAGTGCGTTTTGTAGACATCGCTGTCATCAGGTGTTTTTGACCTAATCAGTATATGTAGAGATAAACTTATCTGTGTTGAGATAAATTAATTGTAGTGAGATAAGCTCTTTTGTTGCATAATCTGTTATTTTATTGATCCCCTGACTTTCACTTATTCAGTTAACTTTATTTTTAGCTATGCTGTCTTAGTAATGACTTATTTTGTTACTAATATTGTTGCTTATAAATGAAGTAAGATATATAGACACCAATTTATAGTAATTTCTATCCGATGAGGTAGTTTTTAGTTTAAATCATGGACAAACTTTATCTAGACACCCATTGCAAGACAACTTGGATTGGACGGATGTTGTTTCTTAGTGTAGGACTTCTCACCAGTGCACAGATAGAATCTAGGAATTTTTGATCTCACTATAAGCCTACCAAAGAGGAATCGCATCTATGATAAACCACGTGTTTAGCACCGTTTTCGGTGTTTCTCAGTGTTTTTCTAAGAAAAATTAGCAAATGGTGTAAGTTAACTTCTAATTAAATAATAAATTTAATAACTGAACTAACTTTTGTTCTAAATAACTGATGTAAGATTCACTAAAGAGTCGATAGTCGAGTGCATTACTAAACATCTACTCACGAAATCATGTTATAACAGGTATTGTAATTAATTAATTAATCTCTCAGTCATAAACGAGGTGGGATATTGAACAACTATGTATGTATGTAAAATTAGAAGAGCCAGAGAATAAGTCAGTGAAATATTAAAGGAGGTAAATGAGATAGCAGTAACCATGCTTTCAAAAGTCCATGTGTGAGCTGTGATTCATGAAAAATAAGTGAAACTGGTCAGTGAAAAGTTTACTGTGACATTAAACTCAAGATTTAGAGCAACATAACGAATTCATTAATTCGCATCAGTATAAGTACTTTTGTATTATATCATCCAACATATTCAGTGATATAGATTACGATAATCTAACTAACCCTAACCGGGGAATCTCCGTCTTCTGACAATGTTTGGTTCAACAATCAAGTATTTGAAATTACTACAAAGACGAAACACAGTTTGTGATCGAAGTCTTTTCATCAAAAGATCACTGAAAACAATTTTTAAAAAATTATTTATACTACTGGATAGAGTAATTATTTAAACTATTTGATCGTGAAATTTTTTTCTCTATTCCCTTAAGAAACTTTGGTGATTCGTTTTTTTTTGTTAAAAAATAAAATTTCGGAACAAAATGATATTTATTGAATTTAAGGTCATGTTAGATAAGTTCAACGTGAACTAGTTAAAGAACGCAGAGAATAAAAATGGATGTTTTTATTTTTAAAATAATGAATTAAACATTTTGAAACTGAAAAAAGATGATCCAAGGTGTTTGAATACTCGATTATTTAGTTAACTATCATTATGGAATTTGTGATTGATTATTTGTATAATATTCATAGACAAGGAAATTAATTTAATAAATATAATTTACCATTGTTATTCACCTTCATTTTGATTATTAACATTACTTCAATTATCTTCTTATTTCGTAAGATAATAACAATAACAATAATAACAATTAAACATTTGTTGAGTTAAATATTTAAAAAGGGGAAACCGGAAGTTGACTATTTTAATCACAATGAAGCACTGCTCATTTTACCGCATTTTTGCATAAATCAAGAAATTACAATAAAAAGTTTTTCTTGAAAAGTCTGTTAAAAATGAACCTAATTTTCAAGTTAGTTGGTATTGGTTAGAAAGGTGTACCTGAAACATTGATTAAATTGATGGTTACTGAGTGATTTGAACCTGTGTAATTGAAAGAAGAATAAACAAACAGGACATTGGTGGTTAGTCAGTAATCTGTCATTTCTAAATATTTAAGCCTTACTAGAGGTCGGTCGCAGCCTGAATGGTCCAGTGGTGATGTATAAGACTGTGAAGTTGGGTGATTTGGGTTTGTATCCAACATAGCAGAACATCTTTTCCCCTAAGATTACTGTAACATTTTGCTGACGAGTGCCAAATAGTATGAAACATGTTCCTAGATTTTACAGACTTCTTGCTCAACAGATTAAACAAGTCTTTTGAAATTATTAGTCGAATTACTCAAGGTTAGACAGCGATAATGAATTAAACAATTGTATGGTTATTATTGTGATTTATCTAAAACAGAAATGCCAGTCGTCTAGTATTAGAAAGATTGTCACAGCTTATGTTGTTTTTTTCATATAGTCACTTAATACCATATGCCAATACGTTAGTTTCAGTAATAGACATCTCACCAGATGTATTAGATACGCTTTATTATTCCATGAAATCCCTGAATGTTGCTCTGAGACGTGCAGAGAGATGCAGCCCTCCTAAGTGAAGCCCACGTATTCACCGTGATAAATCGTTAGTCGCGCGTGGGTTCTTCAGGGGTGTCCCAAGCTATTTTGTAATGATATTCAGTCCAAAAGTAGTATTAATTATTCATAACTGTTAGGTCGATTTTAAACAGGTAGTAGAAAATTGATTTTAACTTGATTTTAAAGCCTATTTATAAGATTATAATTGTAAAACTTTCAGTTTATTGAAACTAATCATCTCAACTCTGAGCTAGATTTAATGAACTAGATGAATAGTATGAACAATGAAATGGATCACACTAAATTAAAAAATGTAACTATTGAAAAACAAGTTTTCATCACGAACTAATATCAAAAAACAGGAAATGTTTGATATTGTTTTCATCATGGTTTTGACTAAGCATCAGTGGATGCTTTACAAATGATCAATTCCAGGACACCTGCATTTTTATGAGATCATAATGAAATTGAACTGCTGAAATGAAACCCAGTAGTTTATATTTGGTTCACAAATTCAATCAATTATATATATACTATGACCAGTTATTTAATAACATTGAAAGGTGATTACATCACACCAGATCTTGATTGACTCAAGTTATTTCAGCTAGTTCAGTGAAAGTTACTTTCATCATAATAAACTTTGTTTGTCATATGTTCTCTGATAGACAAAGATTTTATCATTCATCTGGTTTATTAGTCAATAAGTTTAATATTTAAATAAAATACTTTGCTATAGTCGAAATAATTGGTTGAGTTTTTCAAAATTATTGAACCATACGTTATAAATATAACTGAATTTTGACGCAAAGCATAAAATATCGAAATCATTAATTGTATTGAAGAAAAAGACTGGTGTTATCCGCAACTTTTTCAATGTTCAATAGATGTAGAGTATCCAGCTCCTTGGTGGATGAGCCCTACATATCAGATTGTAATTTGACAAAAAGAGTTCATTTCAAGCTTTTGGAGCTATACATATTTGTTTGCCGTGAACATGTCAGTGTAATGCAAACCGGGTGAAAAACTTAAATATGATGGCAGCTGAGGATCGAAATGAAATCTTCGATTAAAATTACACTCAACTGCACAGCACTCAGTAAATGACTGAAGAAAATGTATGAAAGTTCTAGAAATACACTTACTAAACATTAAAAATGTCGCGAATAACATCCGTCAATTTAAATTTTTCTTCTATCGAATTTCATACTCAGTTCTTATGTAATACTGGAATCTAGAATATTTCCATCCTAGACTACAGAATAAACACCTCCATTTCAGCTGAATCGAAGTATTTATGTGTTAAGGGTTAAGTTCTTTTTTTCTGATTAACCGAGGAAATCAGAATAAAGGTTACTTAACGTATCATACTAAAAGTAAACCTTATATTAGAATGCCTTTATTTTAGCTATAGACTTTATATATATATATATATATGAACTGAGTATCTAATTGTATAAAGCGTTGGTCACTCAATACATAAGATATTAGGTTCGAGTTCTGGTCATTGTCGTAAGACTGAGAAATTAACAAGATGGAATAAAAATAAGCTAAATCAGCAGATAACTGAATAAATAAAAACAAATTACATATAAAAAACTTGAATGGGTAATCGAAAGCTTAATATTATACTGGATCTTAAAGGAAAACGATGAATGCATCTATTCCATTGGATTGGTTTTTAGCGGTTTTTAATCACTAATCATCACTATCGTCCAGTTCAACAATCATTATAATGAAATAACTGAATCTTGATTCAGCCACCTTCAACTTTCTCAGACAATGGAAATTTACAAAGTGATAGAATGTATTTTTAAATTTAATTACTACCATACATCCAATCCTAACAATTACATTATTGTAATATTACAAATTAACAGTGCAATCTACAAAGCATTCAAGTTGATTAATGATTAAAATATAATTACATATATTTTTAAGTTAACAAAAACAGTACATTTATATTGTTTATGTTATATGTTTGGTAAACCATGTACACAAATTAGTAAAAGCTTGAAGTGTTGAATTTTAACACTGTTTTACTGTTATGAAATAATTTTTAAAGCTAATATTGAGTAAATTTAATTAAATGTTATTATTTTTGAAGATAATTATTTATATTTCTTAAACTAAAAAACATTGCATAGATTGTTTAATAAATTTATCTGATTATCAGAGATGTATGGAAAAGTGATTATAATGCTGAAACGTTCTACAACTTCATGAACATCTATACTCAGACGTACACACATATTGTCTCCTTCATTTTTTCCAGTTAGTCAAGTGCAGTTTAGCTTCAAAAGTAGTAAAATCATTATAAAATTCACGTACACCTATGGTTACATAAAACAGTCTAAACTTTTTATTCAACCTTGAATAATGCTTGCTATTTTCAAGTAAATTTGCCTTAGCTTTTATCAAAGTATATCAGGTTGGATAAATACATAAAAATCTATATCTTAAAATCAAAATTACCTTCCTTTTGACTTGAGCACTAAGTCCACTAGCTAAAGGTTGATTGGCCATAAATTTGAAGAAAAAATGTACTTAAAACAACTTTCGTTTTTCTGCTAGTGAAGAAAAGAAAGTGATTTTAATTTACGGTACACTTAGCATTCGATTTTCTCTTGAATTTACCACATTAATTTAACCAATGTAATTCATTGAATTCGACTTGAACCAATCAAATTCACATTAGCGCACATTTATAATTGTGTGTGACAGTCATGAATTGAACCATTTGAAATTATTTGAAAATAGGGAATTCTTTATTATAAAACAAATTTTCTATCAGATATATGGCATGAAATAGATCAAGGTCATTTGTAGACTTTATATTTGTGTGGGCATGACCACTGTTCAACGATACACACATTTTCTTTGGATATATATATATATATATATATATATATATATATATAATACAGTTTTCACCAGTCTATCAATCGATGGATATTAAATACCTTTAAGGGCATTAAAAACTTAAATAGCAATTTTAACTTTGTCACGTGTGCTAGCTGTTAAGCTATATATATAAAAATCTTTATCTGCAATATGCGATAAGTGGTTCTTTTTATTAACCAGATTTCACGTATATTCGGTAGACAAAACTGGACCAAGTTAAAAATCGTAAGATTTTTTGTTGGATGAAATTTTCTATCTAGACACTTGAGAAAAAAGTTAATAGAACGAATAAATATTTCTTTTCAATAAATGTTTTTCTTGGTTCTACGCCAACATGTATATTATTTACAATAATAATAATATAATACCAATCGAGTAATGGTGACGACGCATTATTACACTTCAGTTCTACGGGTAATTACGAAAATAATGTTGGGTGATCAACTAAGTAACTGAGAGAGGGACAAAGTAACCATAGTAATCAAGGCAAAAATTTACGAAATGGAAAACCTATTATTCGATATGTCATGAACTACGTAACAGATATTAAGAAGAGAGTCAAATCTTCTAAAAGAAAGTCAATCCTCATAGTTTAAATAACCACCAACATAAACCAGACCAACATTGAAAACCAAGAAACACAAGACAGCTGTTTCGTCTCAGTGTGGGACTCCCCAGTACTGCATGTTCACAACCTCAAGACAAAATAAAACCCAGGACATTTGGCCTCATGAGCGAACACTTAACCTTGAGATCATTGAGTTTGAATTTAATGTTTTAAATGCTAATTTTACAATAGTTAAATAATCATATAGAGGAGAATATCGAAATTATGTAAAAGTACGAAGGTCAATTGTACATGTGTAAATCACTTTGATTGTTCGCACCACCTTTTTTTGTTTACCACATATATACAATAATTTACGCTAATAGTGCAGTTCATTTTCAGAAAAAAAACACTACATTAGAGTGTCGTTTTCTCTTTTGCTTAATCAGAGTCAATGATAACTTGTTCTAAACACAGAAAGCATCAGTTTCATGGGTTCGCTGAAACTAATTGCAAAGTTTAAATAAATACTCAATTCAGAAGTCTTTAATTTATTGATTGAATTTGAATAATATGATTAAACAGTTAATTTCATAAAGTGTCAGGATAACTGAATTGACTAGAACAGTGTTTCTCTTCAGTGACCGCCTATGTATTATAAGATACAGAACATTAAAGTAAGGATTCTGTGTAGATTGATGAAGTTTATAGTTTATACAACAAAACAACATTAGTTTGACTACACATAACTCATGTACATGGTTTTTCAGCCGACTAACTTCAATCGGAATCAAACTAATTACTTTTGGCTAGTTTCACTGTTTTAAACTAAAATGTCACAGTTTTATGGATCACCACGTTCAATCCAACTATGGAATATATGCCGATTCTAGTGATTTTCAGCTTCCACTTTTGATGTTACTTTTAGTGTCGATCAAATCAAATTTCATGAATGAAAACATCACAGTTGGATTCAACCTCAGTTCTTTTTCTATGGAAAACGAACACGATTTAGTCCTATACAGATTTAGTTGTTAAATGACATAAGAAAAACTAACATCAGAAAGATGTACAATTTCAGTTAGTTTTAGTTTTATCAAATATCATTAATTTCGACAACAGATTAGTTTAGATTTGTCCTGCATTTTTAAAAATGCGTAGAATAGTACATACCGTTGTTGGTTATTTTATAACATATTCATGTTCTGTGTTTTATAACCATACGCATTCATAGTCATTGATCAATGATAAAACATATTTTATCTTAAATCTTTTTTTAAGAATAAACAAACAATGATCTTGAAAACTAGCAATATAGTAAAAAAATTTAGTTTTTCAGAAAGTGTCTCCAATCAACAATCGTTGTATTCGGAATCGTTGTAACGGAAAATTACAAACACTTCACTAATATGCTTTAATAATGTTGAACAAGTTAGTGGCTATAAGAATTTAGTAACTTAGTGGTGAGTTGTTAGATGTTTGAAGTGAAACACGCTACGTCTAAAACAGCGTGAATATATATATATATATATATATATATATATATATATATAGTGCCGGCTTTGGAAACCATGTAAAGAACGAAAGCACATACTACCTTTGGAACAAAGACAATTTTCTCACAACCGATACAGTGAATAACAATATTTAATGTTTTAAGATGAACCGATCAACTGATCACATAAAATGAGTACAATTCATTTCAGCCAAGCAGTACTTTCAACGTACTAAACATATTTCTTCCACCGTATCTCACCATCTGAAACATTTATTCGCATTATTCTTTGAAAGGTACCGAATGCTTGATAACGATTTGGAATAATTTTTTCCTGATTATTTTATCATTCAAGGTGCGTTCACTCAACTAAAAAAGCAAGATATTTTTATGTTTACATTTTTTTAAATATCGGGCATCCGTACAACTCCTTGTCAATTTCATTATTTGAAATATTAACTTCTTTGAAAACGTTTGATCGATGTAACGTCTAACTAACAAATAACTATCACGTTGGCTTTGTTATTACTTATATGATGGGATGAAATAGTTATAGTATCATTCACATACAATTTTTCGTCATAATAAGAATGCTGAATAGCTGTAAAAAACTTTGTTAAGAAATTTATAAACTCTGCTTCATTTATTAATTGAGTTTAACCGATCCACGAAATACCGGTTTTCAAAGCTTGGGGTACCATTGAAAACAAGGAAGTAATGGTCATCTATCTCGTCTTGGTGCGGGACACATGGACAGCGCACATCGGCTAACCCGCTCGGGTATCAAACTCAGGAATGTCACATGTCGCTGCAAACACCTAACCATTTGAACAACTGGGTTGTCATCTAACAGATGACAATTTTAATTGCAGTCAATTCTCATTACTGTGTGACAAACAATCAATACAACTCGTGACAGATATTTGGCTTCCGACAAGTCTGGTCTCCAGCAGTTACGACTTTCCATTCGAACGTCATAAGTAAGTAACCAATTGGCTGACAATGAAGAACGGTTTAATTTGCATATTGCATTCGTCGCAAAAGTGCAAAACCAGTTCATTATAACCAAACACTGTTTGTGACTATCCATTTTAATTGACCTTATTACACTCATTTTTCCTTGTACTCTTACTGCGTGTTTAGTTTGGTTGAGACCATGTAAAGAGAATAGCTGAAACATTCTATACAGTTCTTTTCAGCTGGTTTATTCTCAACACTACAGAATAAATAGTGTACTATAGATATAAGAATTCAAGGATAACGAACAGTTGTATAATTACACATGGTTTGAGTGAAATGAATTTGAAAAGTATTGTATTATTTGCTACTAGTGTCATAACAATCAGTAAAAATATAATACAATCAATGAATTCTGACTCTTAATCTAAAGTGATATCACGTTCAACTACATGTTCAAAATTGTTCGGCTTGAAAATGTTTGGCGTTTTGCAAGTACATTGCCAGGGCACTGGTAGAAATAGAGTGAGTTAAAGCTTTCTGTTACTTTATGATGTCAATTTTTAAGTCAGATGAAGCGAGTATGTACTTTAAACTATCTTCAAGTTGGAGAAATCTTCACAAACACTAAACTTCCATTTTCCTAAACATTTCTAAAAAGATATCACTTGTAAATACATATACGTTGTTGATGTTATTGAGTTAATAAAATATCATACGGACATATACATCGCCATAGATGTACATTACAATTACACACATATCATATCATCCAATTGATTTACAGATTACTAGTTAGGTATAACAAAATTTGATGTGGTACACGTTAACTAGCCAAACGATTTGAAAAATAGTTAGTATTTATCGATTTTGATTTCCACAGCAGAATTTGTTCAAGATCGGTTACTTTAAAAATAGTTCGCCCCACAGACAACTATCGACAGTCAAACAGTAGTTCCAATTTATAAATCGTCGACAACATTTCCGAAGTTCTGCTGCATAATGAATAGATGAAAAATGGAACCGTTCAGAGTAATACTCAAATTTACGTGTAGAACTGTTGATATAATGAAAGATTTTTGTAATTAAGACGAAATGGTCTTGTTAGCTAATCCATCATTAAGTAATGTCTTCGGAGCGTAATCTAAATTATGTGAAGATTAAGTATTAAAATACAGTTTCAAGGTATTATATGGAAATTACCAAATTTTTAAACGATTAGATGTGTTCATTTATGATTCCATGAATGCTTGAAATTCTATTCAAGTATAGTATAATAATGTGTTGACAGTTCAACTATAACAAAGAGCATGGATTCTTTCGAAATTGCAGCTACGTTTTATAACTTAAAGGATCTTACCTACCTATCTTTTGCCTCTAACCCTCTGATATTGAGTTAGGATAGCCCAACACAATACGTATTGTATGATTGCTTTTTCATCTAAAAAATAATCAATATGACTGTAAAAATAATGTGAATAACATAATAATAAACTGATTTCAACTTATCTGTTTTCTAGCTAATAGATAGTAAATTAATATAAAAATAAAATAATATATTGTCTAAATCAACTTAAATTGATCAGTAATAGATTAGAATCATACTTGAGATTACATTATTCATTTTATTTAAACATAGTATAAATAATTTTATTGATAATCTTAATATTTAGAGTAATTAGACAAAAAATAACTAATTAATTAATTGAAATTGATTTATTGAAGAAATAATTGTTATTTTATTAAATTATAGTCGATAGATATTAACATAGTCTATTCTTTTGAAGTTCTTGTTTAATTGTTCAAAGGAAAACTTTACTGTTTATATATATTAATTTAAAGAACTATTTTTGAGACATGTACATTAAAATAAATTTATGTCTAATTAATTGAATAATAATAAATCATTTATTTGTTAATCATTCACTTAAATTCTGTCTTATCTGTCTTACAGATAATCAATTATACAGAAAATTTCAATCAAACTCTGTATAGAAAAATATTGTCAATACAATGCAAGTATTCTGATAATAAAACGATAATTTTTCATTTAATCAGTTTTTCTTTACATATTTAACTAATCTACAAAGAATATAGACTAATAAAACTAATTGAGATGAATACAAATAAATTTTTAAGAGAAGTAAAATTCAAATTTAACGAAAACTAATTAACTAATAAATTATAATAGTAAGAAAAAAGAAACGATTATTCCACTAGTAAGTAATGCAGAAATTTGCAAATGAATATTCTTGAAATTTAACTAACTACCTTGTAATCTACATCTATCCATTATTTGTTCTATTGTAAAGATTAAACTTCAATACTCATAACCAAAAAGTTCTCATCTGTTAGTACTACAGAGTTAAGTAATGAATGACTTCGTCTAATGATATAATACGTGACATTAAAACCTACCCCTATAAACCAATAAACGTTGTTTGTCAATATTTAGGCGTGCTTAACATGGGTCCCATTCATCTATTAGGGAAGTAAAGTAAGTCGGTCGTAGGCAACTTAAGACCTGGCATATACGTATAACTGCTTAAGTTTCAAAATCACAACAGTACAATGAGATGACTAACGGCAGTGTAAAAAGATGAATCGAGTGAAATTTCCACTCAATACGTTTTTCACTATAGATTTACTTAAATAGTTCGGATTATTTTTTCGCGAGTTAGTTTTCCACGGGATCAGGTTGCTAACCCCATACCCAACTCTCCTTCTTTATCCAGGCTTGGAACCGGCAGTAGCCCCTGAATACGGGTCTCTGATAGACAACAGACGTCGATATTAAGACTTTCTAAAAACATAACCAGCCCTATCTGTTGTCCTATCCGCACTTGTGTGTGAACGTTGAAGGAAGCCAGTTTGAATAGCATACGTGGTTTCAGAAAGACTGTTTCAGCATTCGTATTCGGTGGTAGCATTCAACTTTCGACCAGTCAGTGACTCAAGATCGTTTAGATAGAGCAGAGTTTCCACCATAGGAAAGCTGCTGTATAAGTTGGAAAATAAGAATATACAAAACTGAGAGTAGTTAAGTGATGTAGCATATAAAAAAAATGAATGTTACCAAATGGATGTGAATTGTTCGAATTTTAATTGAAGCTAGAATAGTATTTTCAGTAATTATCATCACTTCATTTTATTTGTGTGCGGGCGGTGATAGTGCTCAGACCAAAGCAAGTGGTTTACTTAGGGGGCTACACCCGGAGCCTTTGACCCGAAGGTCTAATCCACAAGGCAGTGGAGCAGCGTAAGGAGATGCAGTCCCATGGTAGCCGGTGACCATCGATTGATTCATACGCCATTTGTTCCCTCAGGATCCTGGAGAACATGTGCACCACTGGTTTGGAATCAGGGATTTCCAACTCTCCTAGATGGACTCTCCGTGTCCGTCAACCCGGTTGAAGCTCCGGACATCTGCTTTTCGTCCTCTCAATTTCGTAAACAACAGTAGTGCCACGAGAAGGCAGTGAGTAGAACCTCCCTGACAGTGGTTGTATGCACTTGGCTATGTGAGCATTTCGGAAGGGAGATCTGACTCTCCCCACCCTCGGCTGTAGCAGGCCCAAACCTAACTAGATCTCATGGATTACAAATCACCTCGAGAATCAAGTACTTTAATCATTTAAATACTGCTTCGCACATTGTAAAAATATATACCTCCGTATTCTGAAAACACAAACCAATTCCAAGTTAGTTAACTAGTATAAGCTATATTGATCAGTTCTATAATGACTGCTTACTAAAGTTTCAGTAAAATTAAACTCTAGCTTTACTATGAACAGAATGGCTACAATTAATGTTCATTTTTATGACATCTCGATTTGTTGTTAAATTCTTGTCTTTTTTTTAACTTCATCAGTTAGACGACTGACGAACGATGAATATCCTTTGTTAGTCCAACTCAGTTGGATTAAATTAGGTCGAGAAGGAACGTTTGTTTTAAAGCTGGAACCTAACAGTGGACATATTCAGGTATGTCTTTCCTCTTTTTGGTGATCAAATGCTTTTCGTTTTTACTCTAAAACTTTTTATTTCTGTCCATAACTTCTTGATAGAAAAAGTGTACACGTACTTACAGACAATTTCACAAAATACATAAAAAGGTAAGTATTCAGAAAAATTGTTTTAACCGAATTTTAGGCAAGTAATCAACAAAACTTAAAGTTCAATTTGACATTGTTGCTTAGGTGATTGGAAACATGCTTTCCTCAATAAAAACACCAAAATAGGGATTTCAAGCTTGAGAAGAATGGAGACAGTTTTGAACTAAAGTTGACATTTTGAGTTCCCACAGTTAAAAACAGGAAGTTCACTGGAGAATTCTCTTTACAACTAATTTATTGTCAAGCTGTACAATCGTATTTATATATGGAGAATGTTTTGTGTTAAAGTAGTAGTTCCGCGAAACTCCGCCTGTAGCTCTTCTAGAGTTACTGCCGGTCCCAAGCCCGGGTAAAGGAGGAGGGTTGGGCATGGGGTTAGCGACCCCATCCCGTAGAAAAGCTAACTCGCTAAAAAAACGCTAACCAGAAAAAATAATTCAATCCATTTAAACTCTGCTCTGGGAGTTGAAGGAATAATTATGACGCTTCATGATGAAAGCCGAAATTCTTCGGAAGTCACGAGACCGATGCACCTTCTAACAACCAGAGCAACACTCTTTATAGGTACATGGAACGTCCGGACAATGTGGGAGACAGGAAAGACCAGCCAAATAGCAATGGAAATAAGGAGATACAACTTGGCAGTACTCGGAATCAGCGAAACCCATTGGACACAAATTGGACAACAAAGGCTAGGTACAGGAGAGATGATGCTGTACTCCGGTTACGAAGGGAAAAATGCTCCACATACTCAGGGAGTTGCTCTAATGCTGTCCAAAGAAGCAAGAAATGCACTTGTAGGATGGGAATCTCATGGACCCAGGATAATCAAAGCATCATTCAGAACAAAGAAGCAAGGGATCACAATGAACGTTATCCAATGTTATGCACCCACCAATGATAGCAACGACGATGATAAAGATCAGTTCTATGAAAGGCTGCAATCAATTATAGAGCAGTGCTCAAGAAAGGACCTCACCATCCTGATGGGAGATCTAAATTCAAAAGTTGGAGTGGACAACACAGGATATGAAGATGTAATTGGACGACATGGACTAGGAGAGAGAAATGAAAATGGGGAGAGACTTGCAAACCTATGTGCATTCAACAAATTGGTACTAGTTCCGCGAGGACATATGAACAAGGAATAACCCCGATGATGTAAACGAAAGATTATGATACTGGATTACGTAATATAAGTGATAAAAATCGACTTAATAAGTTAGTAACGAATGATTATGTGAATCCAGTTCCTACAATAACATGAAACATTATTCTATGGCAGTCAAATGCATTCGTATTACTGTTTGATTTTCACAAAGTAGCACACGGCTTTAGAAAACGTGATTTTTTCTGAATACATTATTTATCTTTTTCATGTAAATCCCCATAACATACTTTTATTTTAATAATTCTCTTTTCAAGAAAAATGTTTCAGAAATTCAAAATGGAACAAATTTACTTAATGATCCAAATAATAATAGTAATGTTTGTGGATCAGTAATCAACTCTAAAACTCGTCTATTTCCACGTCTCTGGTCTTTTCGACGTGAAAAGATCACTTCACCTATGACTGTAAAAACGGATGAAAGACGTAAACAACCATTAGGTTGTGCAGCAGGTGTAGGATTGTCGAAAACTTCTCGTTCCATTTTTAATACTGAAAATTCATTGATATGTTTACTAGGATCAATTAAACATCATGGAAGTGGCGATAATATTATCCATCGTAATAATAACAATAAAAATTCAATTTCACCGAATCCTGACACTCTACCAAATTCATCATTTACACGTACAATATCGGATCCGGAGACAGCGATGCAACAAAAACGTCAACGTACATTAGAAGCTAAATTTATGCAAATGTTACATCATGATAATATTGGATCAGGTACGTTTGAGAAGTAGAAGGGTTTTTTTTAAGTCAACCTCTTTCAAAGATTGAAACTATCGATAGTTGGAATTCGGCATGATCTTGTATCAATTCAAGTTGTCTTGCGGTATTTTAACACAATTATAGATAAGAAATTAATAAGGCTACTCATTAGAAGTGAATAATCTGTATGTAGTACATGTTGCAGAATATATGTTGTAGTTGATCAGTGTTGTTCTTTCCTGAGCCACGCTGTTAAATGCTGCCAAACACGACTGCAAAGTGGTATAGACTGACCACTGGCATACGAAGCTCCACAAAAGAAAGCAGACTAGCATATGCGCATCAGTGGTTTGTAGAGGTTAGGCGTTAGTGCTCGAAACCGAAGGTACTGGGTCTTGGTCCAGTGTGGGAGATCGTGGATATTAGCTACTATGGTATATTTCGTTATTGCTACAGCTCTGATAATAGACCACTTCTCAAATTATAAATTTCTCATGATGTCTCTTGCATAATCTTTAGGCCTATTTCAGTAAGCTGTCCATATCAGTTGTTTTCCAATTGCATGTGCATGAGTAGACTAGCCGAAAGAACAAAAATATAACAGTGGAAATGAAGAATTCCAACCAGCGTTGTTTAGCAGTTTTGTTTTTTATATATAACGAAAGATTTAGAGTTTCTGAATTCATTGAGCGATTAATGAATTCGATTACTTCAATCATAATAGTTATTTATCGAACCATCATCATACCAAATTTGCATCCAATCTCAAACATTTCTCATACTGAAATCCTGTTTATGTTTAGCTTAGTTTACAATACATATTTACTCCAAATGAATCAATATCTGATGTATAACTTACTTACTTACTTACGCCTGTTACCCCTCGTCGAGGAGCATAGGCCGCTCACCAGCATTCTCCATCCAACTCTGTCCTGAGCCTTCCTTTCCAGTTCTTTCCAGTTATTATTCAACCTTTTCATATCGGCTTCTATTTCCCGGCGTAGTGTGTTCTTTGGCCTTCCTCTTTTCCGCTTCCCTTCCGGATTCCAAGTTAGGGATTGAGTCGTGATGCACATTGGGGATTTCCTTAATGTATGTCCGATCCACTTCCAACGTCTTTTCCTAATTTCCTCTTCAGCTGGAAGCTGGTTTGTCCTCTCCCATAAAACGCTGTTGCTGATAGTATCCGGCCAGTGGATGTTGAGTATTTTGCGTAGACAACTGTTTATAAATACTTGTACCTTCCTGATGATGGTTGTAGTTCTCCACGTTTCAGCTCCATACAGTAGGACTGTCTTGACGTTCGTATTAAAGATTCTGACCTTGAAATTGGTTGAGAGTTGTTTTGAGTTCCATATGTTCTTCAATTGTAGAAATGCTGCCCTTGCTTTGCCAATCCTCGCCTTTACATCTGCATCCGATCCTCCTTGTTTATCAACGATGCTCCCCATGTACTTGAATGTTTCCACCTCTTCCAGAGTTTCGCCGTCAAGTGTGATTGGGTTGGTGTTCTCCGTGTTGCATTTGAGAATCTTGCTTTTCCCTTTGTGAATGTGGAGACCTATCGATGCGGAGGCTGCTGCTACATTTGCTGTCTTCATCTGCATTTGGTCGTGTGTATGAGAGAGGAGGGCTAGGTCATCTGCGAAGTCCAAATCATCTAATTGATTCTGACTTGTCCATTGTATTCCGTATTTCCCTTCAGATGTCGAATTCTTCATAATCCAGTCAATCACTAGAAGGAAGAGGAATGGGGAGAGTAGACAGCCTTGTCTGACTCCGGTCCTTACTGGGAATGCACCTGTCAGCTATCCTCCATGCACCACTTTGCACTGTAATCCATCGTATGAGTTTTGGATAATGTTGACGATCTTTTCAGGAACTCCATAGTGTCGAAGAAGTTTCCATAATGTTCTCCTGTCCACGCTGTCAAACGCCTTCTCGTAGTCAATAAAGTTGACGTATAGTGATGAGTTCCACTCAACTGATTGTTCAACGATGATCCGTAGTGTCGCAATCTGGTCTGTGCACGACGGATCCTTACGGAATCCAGCCTGATGATCCCTTAGTTCGGCGTCTACTGCGTCTTTCATCCGATTCAGCAGCACTCTGTTGAAAACTTTTCCTGGTACTGATAACAAACTGATACCTCTGTAGTTCTCGCATTTGCTCAGATCTCCTTTCTTTGGTATCTTGATGAGATATCCTTCTTTCCAGTCCGTTGGCACTTGTTCCTCTTCCCAAATCTTTTTGAATAGAAGGTGAAGCATGTTTGCAGTTATTTCAATGTCTGACTTCAGTGCTTCTGCTGGTATATTGTCAGGTCCTGCCGCCTTCCCACTTTTGATTTGTCTGATGGTCCCCCTGAATTTTTCGATCGTTGGTGAAGTGACATCCATAGGAAGGTCTGTGTGTGCTTCTTCGATCTCCGGTGGATTCAATGGAACTGGTCTATTCAACAGTTCCTCGAAGTGTTCTGCCCATCTTTTCCTCCGTTCTTGAATCTCAATGATTGTCTTTCCTTCTTTGTCCTTGACGGGTCTCTACGGTTTACTATATCTCCGTGCTAGTTTCTTCGTTGTATCATATGGTTGTTTCATATTCCCTTCTCTTGCAGATGCTTGTTTTGTCGTTGCTAAGTCTTCCACATATTTCTGCTTGTCGACTCTTATGCTCTTCTTCACTTGCTTGTTTGTCTCTGTGTATTTAGTTTCGTGCCTTGACTTTCTCTGTTCTGATTCGGCTGTTGTTAATTGCTTTCTTCCTGATCTTCTTTCCTTGAATCTTGACCAAGATTTCGATATAGATCCATTCCTTATGATGATGCTTCTTACGGTCCAGAACCTTGTGACACGTTGAAGTTAGTGCTTCTTTTATCCCTTTCCAGTTGTCCTCCAAAGTAGTTTCTTGTTCATTCAGTAGATCCTGTAGAGCTTGGAACCTATTGTTGAGAGTTATCTTGAATTCTTGGAGCTTGTCAGCATCTCGAAGGAAGGCTGTATTAAACCTTTGTAGTGCTGTTTCCCCAGTTGTCCAGTCTTTCTTTAGCTTCAGTCTCATCTTGGTCACAACCAGGTGGTGATATGAAGCTATGTCAGCTCCTCTCCGGGTTCTTTCATCTTCCATTGATCTTCGGAATTTTTTGTTGATACAGATGTGATCTATCTGGTTCTCTGTGGTATGGTCCGCTGAGATCCATGTAGCTTTGTGTATGCGTTTGTGGGGTAATATTGTGCCGCCTATAACCAGTTTGTGGAATGCACATAGATTTGCAAGTCTCTCCCCATTTTCATTTCTCTCTCCTAGTCCATGTCGTCCGATTATATCTTCATATCCTGTGTTGTCCACTCCGACTTTAGCATTTAGGTCTCCCATTAGGATGGTGAGGTCCTTTCTTGAGCAATTAGCTATGATTGATTGCAGCCTTTCATAGAACTGATCTTTAACATCGTCGTTGCTATCATTGGTGGGTGCATAACATTGGATAACGTTCATTGTGATCCCTTGCTTCTTTGTTCTGAATGATGCTTTGATAATTCTGGATCCGTGAGATTCCCATCCTACAAGTGCATTTCTTGCTTCTTTGGACAGCATTAGAGCAACTCCCTGAGTGTGTGGAGCATTTTCCCCTTCGTGACCGGAGTACAGCAGCATCTCTCCTGTACCTAGCCTTTGTTGTCCAATTTGTGTCCAATGGGTTTCGCTGATTCCGAGTACTGCCAAGTTGTATCTCCTTATTTCCATTGCTATTTGGCTGGTCTTTCCTGTCTCCCACATTGTCCGGACGTTCCATGTACCTATAAAGAGTGTTGCTCTGGTTGTTAGAAGGTGCATCGGTCTCGTGACTTCCGAAGAATTTCGGCTTTCATCATGAAGCGTCATAATTATTCCTTCAACTCCCAGAGCAGAGTTTAAATGGATTGAATTATTTTTTCTGGTTAGCGTTTTTTTAGCGAGTTAGCTTTTCTACGGGAAGGGGTCGTTAACTCTATGCACTATCCTCCTCTTCACCCGATCTTGGGACCGGCAGTAACTCTAGAAGAGCTACAGACGGAGTTCAAGCGAACTTGAATGAGAGAAAAAATGAATTCCTAGTATTGATTCTTCGAATTTACGAATTACATATTTCTAGGTACACTCAGAAACGTTTGATAAATAGCCAAATCTTTTCAGTTTATCATTGTGAGTAGAAGTGGTCATGTGTCAATAAATTAGATTTCGTGATTACTTGATTCACCAATCTAGGCGAATAATTGCAAATACAGAAAGTGTACAACTCTCCCTCAATTTATAATGATATAAGCGAATAATGATGTCAGTAACAAAATTTATTTCCATGTTTTTGAACACATATTACAGGGGATTGCAGATATTGTTAAAAATCATGGTTTACAACATACACTGAACTTACTTATATAACTGTTGAAAATCAGAGAACCCTGGATAGCTGTATTGTTCTAGCATAAAATACTTTAGTGATCTAGCAAACTGACTGAAGACAGAAACATAAACAGTTGGTTGTAAACTTAGTGGTTTAGGGGTTCAGAAGTCTTGTGATACTTTAAGGTCTTCAATTCGTTCTCAGTGAGAACGCCGATGCACACTCGAAGATTTCCGTACTAGGACAAAACAGATATCCAATGCTTTTTGGTTCTCAATGGTTGTTCCAAGTAAAGTCAGTTCATGATGTCAACTATGTAATGAATAGTAATTGTAACGACAAGGTGAAATCAAGTATAGTATTTTTGTGATTTTCATTTTCAACTCTGATAAAAAAAGAATCAGCAACCACAATTCACAAAAAATAAAGACAGGCTACTCCAGTTGATCTGGATACTATAACTCTATGCATTTAAGAGTTATGCATATGCTCTGTATGACCCATTATATTATTTATCACTTTATTCTTTTCAGTAATTTAATCAATAGATTGTTCATCAGATAAGAGAAGTAACAAGTTTAAAGTCATAGAGAAAGTATGACAAACTGATGACCTACAGTTAACCAATGAAGATTAAGATAGCACCTCACA